TCCGGTCGTGGGGCCTGAACTCTGGGCCTGGGCACTGTCCCTCAGCTCTTCAGCTCAAGGCTAGCGCTCTACCACTTGAGCCACAGAGCCACTTCCGGTTTTTTTCTTTTTGCTTATGTGGTGCTGGGGAATCGAACCCAGGGCCTCAGCCATGCAAGGCAAGTGCTCTACCACTGAGCCACCTTCCCAGCCCCTTGCAGTTTGTTTTCTGATAGGATCTCATCTTGACCTTGCTTGGCCTGGCCTTAAACAAAGATCTTCTTGCCTCTGCCTCTTGAGTAGCTAGGATTACAAGTAGGTACCACAATTAGTCCTAAACATATATTTTCTATGTTTGTGTCTGTTAGGCAAGTGCTCTACCTTTTTTTTTTTTTTTTTGTCAACAATAGACCATGAGCTGGGAATGTGGCTTAGTGGTGGAGTGCTTGCCTAGCATGCATGAAGCCCTGGGTTAGATTGCTCAGTACAACATAAACAGAAAAAAACAGAAGTGGCACTGTGGCTCAAGTGGTAGACTGCTAGCCTTGAGCAAATGAAGTTCAGAGACAGTGCCCAGGCCCTGAGTTCAAGCATACCTCCAGATTCCACTTTCCTAGCTCTCCTGTTGTTTAAAATCTTTGGAATAGACACCAGTCTCCTCAGCCTGAAATGAAGCTAGAAATTGCATGAAGAGTATTCAAATGAAACAGGAGAGGCTTTGAACAAGCCTACCTCCAAGTATAAAATATCATTCTCCTCTGTACATCACCCTTATAACAGCAAAAAAAAAAAAAAAAAAACCCAAAAAACAAAACCCATCCTCCTTCCCTCCTCAAGAAAGCTAAATTGCCCACCATCTCTTACTTTAAAACAAGAAGACATAAGGTGAGAGGATACAAGCTAGCTGATCCTTCACCATTTAGTGAACATTTCAGTCTCCTTTTTTTTAATTTTTGTCATTCGTGGGGCTTGAACTCTGGGTCTGGGCCCTGTCCCTCAGCTCTTCAGCTCAAGGTGAGCACTCTACCACTTGAGCTACAGCGCCACTACCGGTTTTCTGGTGGTTTTATTGGAGGTAAAAAGTCTCACGGCCTTTCCTGCCCGGGCTGGCTTTGAACCACGATCCTCAGATCTCAGCCTCCTGAGTAGCTAGGATTACAGGCGTAAGTAAGACACCCGCACCTGGCTTTCAGTCTCCACTTTGCTAGCGATCAATTCAGGCCTAAAGTTAGGTAAAACTGGAAGCATCTTCTTGACCAAAAGCCTGCTAGGTGTGCTTATTTCTGATGTTCTCCTAGTTTCCCTGGAGGATTATCCAGCACTGTCTTTTAAACCTCACGTGTTTGGGTAAAGGGTATGTGTGCACATGCTGTTATTTCAGCTTGAATTTAGGAGACTGTGCTCTTAGATTTTTTTTTTGGCAGGGGGGAGGGGAGGAATAGGTCATGCATGGGGCTTGAACTCTGGTCCTGGGCACTGTCCCTCAGTTCTTCAGTTCAAAGCTAGCGCTCTACCACTTGATCCACAGAGCCACTTCCAGCCTTCTCAGTGGTTTATTGGAGACAAGACTTGTCTCACAGACATTCCTGCCTGAGCTGGCTTTGACCTGTGACTCTGCCTCCTGAATAGCTAGGATTACAGGTGTGAGCTACCAGCACCTGGCATAATTTCATACATATAACTTAAGGAGGGTGATAAGAAAATATGGTAATGTTCAATCTGTTTTTGTTATTACCTATATTTCCTTACTGAACAAGTGTTACCTACATAAGGGCAAAGTATTTACACCAGCATTTTAACACTCTTACTTAAAATCCAAATTTCTTTTTTCTCTACAGAGTTTCTGACCAGGTCCTCATTCTCCTTTTTTGGTCAGCTGAGGGGCTTGAACTCTGGGCCAGGACGCTGTCCCCAAGCTTTTGCTCAAGGCTAGCACTCTATCACAGCATCACTCAGTCCTGGTTTTCTCTTGGTTAATTGGCAATGAGACTCATGGACTTTCCAGCCTGGGCTGACTTTGAACCACAACCCTCAGATCTCAGCCTCTGAGCAGCTAGGATTATAGGAGTGAGCCACCAGTGCCTGGCTCCTATCCTCATTTTCTTCTACCCAAAGATATCCATTTTTGGAGAAGTCTGATTATTCTGTCTATAACATCCCACTTCCTACACCTTTCTACATACAAAATGATTCTCTTATCTCTGCAAATCAGTATTTCTTGACTTCTGGAGATCCTTTAATGCATCAATGATCAATCCCACCCTTAGTTATAGCCACAGTGCATATACTTAACCTGATTACTGATGGGCTATTGAGGGCATATAACCACGATTTCCTGTTACCATAAAGACTCAGCTCTTTGGCTGGCTGTGGTTATGCACACCTTTAATCCCAGTATTCAGAAGGCTGCGGCAAGAAGAATACAGGTTCAGCCTGATCTAATGACAATCTGTCTCAAAAAATGCACAGGCTGGGGGCTGGGAAGGTAGCTCAGTGGTAGAGTACTTGCCTTGCAAGCCTGAGGCCATGAGTTCGATTCCTCAGTACCACATAAGAAAAAAGCCAGAATTGGCGCTGTGGTTCAAGTGGTAGAGCGCTAGCCTTGACCTGAGGAGCTGAGGGACAACGCCCAGGCCCAGAGTTCAGGCCCCACAACTGGACCCCAAAAAAAAAAAATGCACAGGCTGGGGATGTAGCTCAGTGACAAAGCACTTGTCTAGCAATTGCAAAGCTCTGGCTCTTGATTCTTAGCATCACAAAAAAGAACAGAAAATAGCACTTTTGTGACAAATATTCAAAGATTACTTTCTTCAAAAGATCACCAAGCCAAATATTTGGCCATATTTTTATTTACTACATATACTATAAACATATACAATACATGCTACAAAAAAAACATTTTTTTAAAATTTAACTGTCAAGAAAGTGTATAGTGTTATAATACAATGGCACATGTTCATATTTTATTTCAAATTGGTTTGCTTTTCACCCATTTCAAACCATTAATAGTAAAATGTTACTTGTGGATAATTAAAAATTATCTATTTGCATTATTAACAATAAACAATTACAACAAATTAATAAGAATTAACCGTGTCAAATATTAGTATTCAAAAATGGGCTTTTGCAGTGATTATATATAAAATATAGCAGCCAATTTCAGTTTACTTTGCTCTGTAACAATGTACATATGAACTTGGAGCCTAGCATTTCTTTTTTATGGGAAGATACTTATGCGAAGTCTTTTGATTTCTTGAGGTCCAGTAACCGCTACACCACGCCAATCCAACCCAAGAGTTCATGTAATGGCTTCAGACAACTGATCATTGAGAAGTTCTTGTCATTTTTAGTAGAGTTGCATGTTCCATTAACAATACATAGGATGAAGAGACACATTTTTCAGCCAGTATCAAAGCCAAAAGAAAATACAACATTCAGATCATTTGTGACAAGGACCTTATACAAATATTTAGATGCCATACTTTCAGGAAAACAAAATTGAAGGTGTATTTGGATTTTACAGTATCTACGCTAACTGGAAATGTACAAGTAGTCAGGTGGAATTATGTCGAGTATTGCAAATCTGTTCATCCAACATTAAGCACCCAACTATGTGCATAGCACTGTGCTAACGTTTTATAAGTCGAGTATTACTGTCTTTATCAAGCATTACCTTAGTGTGAGGTAAAAATAAATTAGCGTCAACTCATTAGTTTGCCTGTGATGAGGTTTGTAATCCCGCACCAGTTGGCTTCCCTGGGCCATGTAACAAGCTTCTGCACTCCCCTCATTCACTCACACACAGCTGCACACACTGTGCTCCAGGCAATGTGCTAGTCACTGAAATACCATGATTTTGTATATGTTTCAAGAATGCAAATTTATCATATAACCTATGCAGGACAATAGAAAGATACATTATTGTTCTAAAATGAGGTCCGAAGCAAAGTACAGATGTTTTTATTGGTCATACGACACCAGAGTCCAGTGCCTATATTAAATGGGTACTAACTTTGAAAGTTTCATGTTGTCGTTAAAAAGAGCCTAGATCGTTTTTGGTCTCATAGGTTTATTCTTTGGAGCATGAGACTCCATATAAGCCATTCTACATGTAGGTTTGTAAACTAAACCTGGATATAAAAAGAACCAAAAACAAAGGCGGTTTATAATGTCATGTACTTCAAATACTATTCTGGCCAAGTAAAATGAATACATAGTTAATTCATGATTGATTCACACATTTTTCAAAGCTCTAACCCTACCCCAAACTCATATAATTCTAATTTGCCTTATATAAAAGTTGCACACAATGCAGAGGGCAGAATTTGGCCCTGAAACCTTCCATGGAATAGTATAAGTGATTGGTCCTTCCACTCCAAGTAGAATCTGAGAATTAGAACTCTGCATCTCCTATGAGGATACTGGCACCTAGGAGAAATGGCCTTTTAGGTCCCATCAGCCAGGAGTCTCTTTAGGTGCCATAGCAGTGTGGGCCTACAATGACTCCTCAGGGGAAGGCAGAGAGCTGGGAGTTTGCTCACTGAGTGAATCCAATACTGGCTTAAAGCTATGCACTAAATAAAGTGCTCTGAACATCCTGCTTTTTTTTCTGGAAGAAAAAAAACACACATTACCTTAAGAATTAACCTGCTTGTAGGTCTGAAGGAAGAGAATGTAAGAGTTGAAAGAATCCTAAGAAAAAGCTTGAAGCAATGACTGGGAAGGAAGACAAATGCTTCTAGTAGTGTTCAGAACTTTCTCAGGATTTGAAATGTCATACAATGGTCATGTTCCATAAATGAAAATGCAATCCCACTGGATACTATTCACATGGTGCATTACTTAATGGGGTGGAAGGGAACATTTGATAGCATGATTTCAGAATGAAAGAACTACTGAACAATTCAGGGTAAGCAGTGTTCATCAGTTTTCCACAAGCTGATCTCCACTGCCTGAAAGGAGGCAAGATACCTATCCCTTCTGATACAGGCAGGACCAATATCATCAAAAATTGCCAATTCAGAAGTTAACCATACAAGCCCTCCAGTTTCGTACCCTGAACATGGTAAATAAGAGTAGGAATGGAGTAGTTCAATCTAAAAAAGATCACAGGTAACAGAATGCTTACATAAACTAGACTGTTTTGATACCTGTAAGAAAATTGTATAGATGTCAACTGGGGGAGGAAAGAAAAATTGTTCCCATCTGTCAGCAAAACTGTTTGTTGAGCTATACTCAGCTGAAGTCCTCATCGGGATTCTGTTGATCCAGCAGACGGACATGTGTGAATGGGAAGTGACCTCGTTTGCCATTACACTCCCCTTCCCACTGACCACTCACATTAATCTTCGTAACCTTTACCAGCTCACCGACCTGCAGGAGGAGAATAAGGAGAGCACTTTATTTCCAATTAAGAATGCAAACTGAAAATCTCCACTTTGGTTAGGCATACCCTGCCCATGTGATTGCTCTAGGGCTGATGTTACAGAAATTACTACCTCCCCAGCCCCAGCCACCAGACTGGTTACTTATGGTTAATGCAGGCAAAAGAAGTGTTTTTAGCATTAGAGAAAAACAGAGAACACAGAAAGTAGAGTATCCTAGTATCATAGAAAATAATCCTTTTGTGCCAACCTCAAGTTTCTCTGGATGAGCAATCCTGACTTAAGTGAGCTAGTACTCCTTTTCTTCTTTTTTTTTGTTGGTCGTGGGGCTTGAACTCTGGGCCTGAGCGCTGTCCCTTCACTTTTCAGCTCAAGGCAAGCGCTCTACCACTTCAGCCACAGCGCCACTTCTATGGCTTACTTTTCTTATATCCACTATTCTCATGCCTGGCCCTTGCTTGACATATGCTGAAGCCCAATCCCCCAGCCCACTCTCATACATTCCTCCAAGCTGCTACTGTTTGTACAGCAAGAGGAAACATGACAAGCATACTTTTCTTTCTTTTCTTTTTTTTTGGCCAGTTCTGGGGCTTGAACTCAGAGCCTGGGTACTGTCCCTGAGCTTCTTTTGCTCAAGGATACCACTCTATAACTTGAGCCACAGCATCACTTCTGGCATTTTCTGTTTATGTGATACTGAGGAATCGAACCCAAGACTTCATGCATGCTAGGCAAGCACTTTACCACTAAGCCACATTCCCAGCCCTGATAAGCATACTTTAGATGGCCTCAGAAAATGAAATGTCTCCACTATCTTCAGATCAAGGCAAACCCTTTCCCACTCAGACAGGTATAAGCACAAACCCCAAATCCTATCACCTTCAAATCCTTCCAATCCTCCACCTTCTCCAACATCTATTAACAAACCTCATTGCTCCCTCAATGCCACCTGGCTCAACATTAACTATCAGCCAGGCTCTGGTGGCTCATTCCTGTAATTCTAGCTATTCAGGAGGCTGACAACTGAGGATCTAGGTTCGAAGGCAGTTGGGACAGGAAAGGGGGTAAGACAATATCTTCTATTAACCACCAAAAAGCTGGAAGAGGAGCTGTGGCTCAAGTGAGAGCACACTGTCTTTGAGCACAAAAGCTCAGGGACAATACCCAAGCCTTGAGTTTAAGCCCTAGAACCAGCAAGCACATGCATACATGTGCACACACATACACAAATCAACTATCATCCGCCGGGTGCTGGTGGCTCACGCCTGTAATCCTAGCTACTCAGGAGGCTAAGATCTGAGGATCGTGGTTCAAAGCTAGCCCGAGCAAGAGAGACCATGAGACTCCCATCTCCAATAAACCACCAGAAAACCGGAAGTGGCGCTGTAGCTCAAGTGGTAGAGCGCTC